AAACACTGGAGCGGAGTCAGTGAACTGCTGGAACGGACTGCTAATATCGGAGCGCTGATATCGGACATTTTTTATGCAYTCCGATAAAATCCGATACTCGTTTTTTGGCTGATATCGGACCGATATCCGATATTGATATCGGATCGGGACACCCCTACTGATCAGGTTTGGTTTTTATACCCATGTCAAAAGTTTTATAGTCATGATTGTAAAGACAGCTTTTAAGTAGCTCATGTTTGTTCTGTACTATAATTTGGTCTTTTCTCTTTGATGCAGGAGAGTCAGATGGGCGTGTCCATCTGTCTGTCCGGCTTCATGGCCATGGACATCCCGCCTCCTGCTGGGCCCCTCTGGATTCTGGGAGATGTGTTCATTGGGAAGTACTACACCGTGTTCGACAGGAGCGCAGATCGAGTCGGGTTCGCTGCTGCCAAGTAGAAAATGGAACATGACAGAACAACACAACGTACTGCGATTCTTAACTCGTGTAATAATAATTAGACTTTAAAGGTTTCATCACTGTAAGAACTGCTGTCTCACMTTTGATTTTAAAGTTAAGATACAGGATAAATATAAATGGTTAAATCAGCAATGTCGATGTTCTGCTACTGATAAAATGACTTTTCTTTTTGTTGCACTTAAATGTGAAGTTGCTTTTTATTTCTAAAGTTTAATATTAGGGTGATTTTAACAATGCACTCTGTTTGCACCGTTTTGCAATAACGAACAAACAAACATGCTTTTTTTTTAAGAAACATTTTTGGACATTTAAATGAACATTGAGTAATAAATATCTTACCTGTTGTAGATTTTTGAAAAAATTTTGTTTGGAGAAAAAGTGYTGACATTCCTTCAGGAAGTACCTCAGGCTGCTTCAGAAGTGCTACAGCTAGCTGCCTCTGCTATAATATATATGTAAATAAAAGTAGGAGGAATCAGCCTTACATGCCAAAGTTTTAAACAAATCTTGCACAAACAGTTTCTCTGAACTGTTGCTGTTCAAAGCGTTATCTGCAGCAGGTAAGATGTTTATTCGTGTTTTTTAACAGAACCTCAGGATGTCTAAACTATAGCTGAATGAACCACATTTCTAGTTATAAACAAGCATCAAAAATCATCAGATTTCTGAACAATAAAGTTAAATTATATCTCTTACCGTGCTTTTATTGTACCAAAGTCTGAACAAAACAATAAAAACTTTTTTTTGGATGGATTCTTTATTTCAAGCATTATCCCTTAAAAGAAAAATTAAAAAAACATGACCATACTGATTATTTTAACAAAGTGCCACAACGTTCAAGTCCAGAGCAGAATTTAAAAAACTACGAGGTGAGAGGTTACATGCATCACAGCATCTAAGACCCTTTTCAACACTGAACTTGAGATCTTATTTTGGATTTTATTTTACGACATTTTAACTGTGGCACAGTGACGCCTCTCAGTGTTTCTGCGAAGGAAGACACATCAATGGTACATCCAGAGAACAGGTATCTTTGCACAGTCAAAATAAATATACCTCTTTTTTTTGGTTACAAATGTAGAATAAATACAAAAATAGACACCTGCTTTTTTTCTTTTTTGATCTTATTATTGCCAAATAAACTATAAAGAACTCAAATCTATAAATTTACACAAACAATGCTTTGAGAATGAGGACATTTACTCTGGATACTTTATTTTTTACAAGTCGAAGGCAAGAGTCGAGAAAAAAAGCAGCAGTGACATTTTTTTGACAACATACTTTGAATGTAGAGACAAACCGTCTGACAGCTTGTAGAATTCACTCCACTCAGGATTTTCTATCAAGATAAAAGGACGCCCGCTGAATTTGAAATTGTTCTAACACAAGAAACTTTGGCTAAAAGATCAGGTAGTGATTTTTTTTATTTATTTATTTTTTAAATACCACCTGTAATCTGATGACATACACGACAAGCTCCTTAATCCACGTCTGGCACAGATCAGTTAATCTGGATTTAACGGTTGCTTTACGACTTCAGGTTGTTTAGCAGAAACAGCTTGTTAGCGACTCAGGTCCCACTTGGAGAGAACTGCAACATGTTTAAAACCAGAAGAATTGCAAACAGGAAGTTGAAAAAAATAAAGCCAGGACACTGAAACAGTTCAGAAAAGTCTTGATTTAAAATACTTTCTTTTTCAATCTAAATCGAACGCAGAATAAAGAAATTTTATCTTTAAATACCCAGTGATGTGAAGCATACGATACTGACTGGTTAAAGATTTTTTGAAGTGGGGTTCTGTAGAAAGATTATAAACAATAACCARCTTACCTGTTGTAGGCCTGGGCAATATGACTGAAAAATGCATCACATTTTAAGTGTTTCATATCAGTCAATATCAATAATTATTAGTTTTTGTTTTACCCATTTGAAATAAAGAGCAGAAGAAAAAAAAGGCTGATTAATGATACTGGTGATGTGACCTTTCCTCTTTTATCCACAATTTCCTCTTGAGCTGTTGCTCGTTTTCTTTCACTCCAGGTCCTTTTTTATTTTAAAGCAGTTCTGATGCACGGTGGTGAAACACGAAACTGCCGCTGTACATGTTCCTCAACAGATTACTGCTAGCTTACCAAAGAGTGAAGGAGGTTAGTTGATGCTTAGCTGGGCTGTGAGGTGTCAAGCAGCTAAAGCCTCTTCTACATCACCCAGAATGCCGTGAGGTTCTGGATCGGAGCTCAGTGAAATTACGATGCATTCCAGTCGTCCTCGAAGGTCGGAATCTCGAACTTCAGTGTCAAAAATATGAACTGGCGCAGCCCCTAAAGTCGTAAACATGAGTCAGGAAGTCGTGCAACACGACCACACCAGAGCAGCCCAAGCAGGCCATCATTTCAACATGGCTGCTTCTCGCATCAAGAGCAACTAAAACTCTTCACGTTTAGTTTTTAGCAGTTCTGCGTTTACTTAAGAATTGCTATAAAGTACAACTGACTTAATTTTTACGTGACGTGTTTTAATGCTGTTTAATGCTGTACACTCAAAACACCATGTAAAGCGCTGTTGTTGCGTTATTGTTGCATCCTGTCGACAAAACAAGAAACAAAGGCTTTTTTCTGGCGTTCTGACAAACTGGAAAGCTTTTAAACCTTAAAACTTTACAATTTCAGTTCCACTGCAACTGGACAGCAGCATTAACAACAGTCCATTTGACAAATTTTCTATTGATACTGATCACGTGCATTGTGTTACATATTGTTAGTGAATMATTGCCCAGCCCTAACCTGTTGTTGATAGCTCTGACCAGCCTCAGAATAGATTGGGGTGAGAAAACATGGTCCGCAAGGTCCTTTAAAAAGGTGAATTTGGTAGAAAATAATTGTGACTCAGTTATTTTTTTAAATGTATTTGTTTATCTTTTAACACCAGCACCTGATAATAACACAAGTTGTTTCCTTAAAGTGCAATTTTTTTTTCTAGATAACATCTACCGCTGTGCTCCTTTTCTGATAAAAGAAAAAAAATTACTAAGGTTATGTTTCTGCCACAGACATTTATTTTGAAAGGATAACGAAGTGGAAACTGGTTTCCTGTCAGAATATGCACATCCTCCTCACATTAAACTTTCAACAGCATGTCTCAGTGCCTGAACCCTTCGTTCCATTAAAGGGTTTTCAGCTGCAGGACTTGGGGTGAGTAAAATTTATTTTATCGCAAGTTTAAGCAAAGACACGAAGCAGAAAACGTCATAAACTGTTTTAAACAGTTTGTTGTTGTGCTGACACTTCTTGTGCTGTATTAAATTAGRCCTAATAAATATAGTCTTATGTTTGGAGTGGTGGCTGGTAGAAGCTTGAAGGGTGTTTAAAAAAATGAACAATTACTCGAAAACCTTTTCTTTAAAAATGCCCATCTCTATTAGCCATTAGCTTCTAGTTCATGTCTCCAAACTGAGGTCGTCCAAAGAGCCACATGTAGGTGAGACAACTGTTCCCAACTTTTCCACAGAATCCCACTTTAAAAGAGCTGAACTATCCTTTTATTTTAACATACTGGACTGGACTTGTGCAGTGAAGCAACGTGAGTCCATTTCAGAACAAAGAGCACTTCTGTCCAACCATCACATGATCTCTACTTGCTGCTAAATTAGACCATTTATTAGTTGGAATTTCAACCATCCAGAAAATAAAAATCAAGAATTTCCTTTTTCCCCATATTTGCTTGTTCTTTAAGGATTCATATTAAATAATGGCAAACAAGCTGAAGACATTTGAAACACTATTCCTCCATATTTGACTGGAGCCACCGTATTATTGAAACTTTACTGGTTCACAAGTTGAGCATTGTAAAGCAAAAAAGGGCTTTAAGTTAATTTCTGATCAAACTTTTTAAACCAGCATACAGGTATTTAGTATTTCATCTCCTGAAGCTGCGGCACAAACTCACCGAAAAACAGAAATTAACTCTGAACACTGCTAAACAGCTCCATCAGGCAGAGAAAATTTAATTTTATGTTCTGAAGAATCACAGAAGTTTAATCTGAATTTCATTAATACAATGGTTTCTGAAAGAAAAACACCACTTCCTTTCAAGAATAACATTTTTGGAACATCATGAAACGGTCTCGTGTTTACTCACAGGTGCTTTTAGGGAGGCAGTAAAAACCAACAGGAACAGATCCGTTTTCCATGCAGGGCTCCTGAACACTGAACCGGAGACGGGGGTTTCAGACCTGTGGCTCGGCAGTTCTTAGCAGCGCCTCCGGTTCTGAAAGGGCGCAGTAGAGCGTGTAGCCCAGCTCGTCTACTTCCTGTTCCYTCAGCTCACAGAACAGGTTCACTTTGGGGCTGAGGGCGCACGGCAGCCTCCCTGCCTCCAAGTGTTCCACCAGCGCTCGCAGCAGCTGAAGGAAGCGGTCGGCCAGCGCCTCCTGGGTCCAGTCGCCCTCCTTCTCGCTCAGCAGCAGGATGGCGTTGGTGAGCTGGCTGGCGTTGAGTTGGCTCAGGGCGGGGTTCAGCTTACACACAGCCTTCGCCACCTTCAGGCAGGTGCAGCGGCAGCCCCCGTCCTCCTGGTCCAGCGCCCTGAGCCGCGCCGTCTCGCCAACACGGAAGCTCTGCCGCCACAGGTTGTCGTGGCGCTCGGCGGCGAGCCGGTGCGGCTTGGCGATCAGCGAGGTGCTGTCCTCCATCACGAGCAAAGGCAGGAAGTCCACATAGAGCCTCCGGTTGGTCTCGTACTGAACCTCCAGGGTCAGTGTCTCGGAGGGAACCACGGGGCGGATGATGTAATCGAGGACGCTCCCGATGGCRGGCCAGTTGATGGAGCCGGCGACCAGCTTGTCGAAGACCTCAAGGACTGATTTGGGGGAGAGGTAACCTCCGACCATGCAGCGGTCCCAGTAGCTGCTGTTCCGTGGGAAATACTCCAGGTTTTCCCTGCGGACAAGCCAGAAACCCGGCAGATTCATGATGGTGTCCTCACCGGGAATGGACGACCACAGATTCTTCTCCAAGACAAGAGGAACCATCAGCTGGGCGTGGTCGGCTGTCACCACCTGGGATGTGGAGAGAAAAACATATACATTTCAAATTGAATCCAAGCTTGAAGAAATGCAACAACCACTGCCTTTCGTGCCAGAGTCTTTAGGCTACATTTACATTGCAGACAAATGCGACCCAAATCAGATTTTTTTGCCCCATCTGACCCATTTCCGATTTTTTATGACAGTCTGAACGAGACAAATCCATTTTTTTCTAATCCGACCCAGGCCGTTTCAGTATGTGGTTTTAAATRYGARACATATCTGATGTTTTCAAAGTGACTGCAGTGTGAACGCTCATGTCACATTACATCTGACTTTTTCATCAGGAGGAGGGGGGTGAAGGATCGATAAGACACTTAACCTCAAGTCTCGCTGTTTAAATCTGCAGCTCCATGTGTTTACAGCTCCAAAACACAAGTCCAGTTGCTTCATCTTTTTACTTTTCATTTTCCATGTAGATAGTAACGTCCAGCCTGGGTCTCAGAGCGTATCGATCCTAAAGTCACTCAGTCGATACTTTATTTCCAGCTCGTTGTTTCGTTCAAAAATAGAAAGCTTCACTGGAGCATCCTGGTCAGAGGCAGGTTCAGATATAAACACTGAACTAAACAAACACGTCAGATAATTATTTAATCGGCTCTGAGATTAAACAACTTCAGATTCGACGTGCAAAAAGTAGCATCCATGCTAGCTCTGTAAACAAACCAGCCGGCTGATGAGACGGCACATCTTTACTGCGCATACAGGGCACATCAGCGTTGTGTASCGTTCACACAGGGGTCTGATGCAGGTCGCATTTAAAATGTAATGTGAACGTTCACACCAAAAGATATGATTTTTCCAAAAAAATCGGAACTGAGCAATAAGACCTGCAGTGTGAACGTAGCCCTTGACTACGTTCACACTACAGGTCTAAAAGCTCAATTCTGACTAAATGAATATCTAATGTTTTTAAAAGAGTTCACCTGCAGGTCATCATACAAGCTGCCGCTGAGGTACATCTCTCGGAGTGGCATGTCAGGCAGTTTGGCATGCAGGAACACCCTGAGCTCGGCGCAGATGTCCAGAGCCGCCTTTCTGGCCATGGCCTGCTCCTCGGCAGGGATGTTGACGCTGTTCTGGTAGAACGCCCACAGACGTTCCTGCAGAGACAGGCGCATCCGTGCCCGCAGCAGGTCAGACTGAGCGCCGCCGCCTCTGCCCATGGCAGAGCGCCCCACGGCTCTCCGCAGACCGTCTGAAACAAACGTTACAGATGTTTTGATAGAGAAGCAGCTGGATTCTGATCAAGCTTCTTCAATAATGTGAAGGGTTGAACTAATTAAGAGAAAGCGGGCAGACTGTCCAAAATGTGGGGGGTTAAATATATTTGTTATCAGGACCAGAGGTTTCTATAGAGGCTGCTCTGCTTCCGTCAGYGAATCACAGGATTTCTGTTTGCCTGTGTTGTTAGTTCAATAACCCTGTGAGAAGAATCAGCACAAAAATGAGCTTGTTCTCAGCAAAAGACTCCGTTTTCTGAAAACAACACAGATTACACAGACGTACTGATGCATCTCAGTAATCCAGGAGGAAAAATCAAAAAGAAAAAATAAGTAGGTCCTACTTATTTTTTCTTTTTGATTTAACCCTAGCCTGGCCCTTCCCTTCCTACGCAGCTCCGCTCAATTCTAGTTTCCCTTCACTGCTCCGTCTGGGACTTCTCCCATAGACAAGGATTTCACTGGCAGATTTTTAGCCYGGCCAATCAGAGAACAGAACGTCAATTTTCTGCAGAGTGTCTGCTTGTAGTTTATTTTACCTGGGCCAATCAGCAAACAGAAGGCGGAGTTTTGAATGACGTCGATGTTCTGCACAGTGTTTGCTAGTTAGTTTAGCATACGGCAGTGGAGGAAGTGAATGAAGCCAGTCRGTGTTGATAAGGCTTCCAAATTAAATTAAATTTGTCTGACAAAGCAGCAGCTCTCATTTACAGTCGTCTCGTTCGGCTCGGTACTTTTCTCTTCTCAGTAGGGTTGTTTATAATGCACGCGATTGCCGGTTAGCTTCTTAGCTTAGCCTCCGTCACAGCGACATATGTCGCAGCCAACTGATCCAGTCATTTTAAACTTCAGCAGAGGCCACGCCTCCTTCAAGGATCACTGTTCTATTCATCAAGTCCAGACCCTTGTATGAAGCAAAGTGAAGGACGAGGGTCTGGTTTTAACCAGGCCAATTTAACCCAGATTTGAAGTCTAAAAACCTGCAGAGGGATGCTTCTTCAGGAGACGTTTTCAAAAACACACATTGTTTACATGTGAACCGTTGGCTAGGCTTAGGCCAGCGGTGTCAACCTCATTTTCACCGAGGGCCACATGAGCGTTATGGTGGCCCTCGAAGGGCCAGTTGTAATGAACTTTGATGTTTCATGTTTAACTTTGACTAATCAGTGTTTTAACACGTCCTCTTTTAAACACTGATAAGAACTAAGTGTACGACTGACTAAATCTGAAATAAATACAGAAATATTATTAAAAGTAAAACTAATGTTTTTCTCACTGATGAGTTTCTAGTGAGTAGCTGCATTATGGTAGATTTAGTTTATGGTTGATGCTGGCTTTAAAGCAGCTTATTTTCAGACTGTGCTATCCAACTAAATTGATCAGTTATATATACAGTATATATATTTTTTMGGMGGGGGGGGGGGGTGTCCACTGATTTAATGCTACATTTACCGTTCACACCAAACGTGTTGCGTGCCTCCAAAAATCTCAAAACGCACACATCTTGATGCTGGTGTCCAGTGAGGACAGACGCATTTGATGTGAACGTAGACGAGCTTCTTTAGACGCTCGAGGGGAGGAGCCTTAACCGTAGTCTCGATAACGTACCAAACATGCCGACATCCCCACAAATTGTCCTCTAGGTAAAGTCCATTTTATTTCCATCCCGATAACGGACACAGGAATGACCATAAATGATCGGACTATCAGTTTTTCCTCCATTGTTTGTGTGATCCGACTTCCCGGGCTTCGGGGATTTCTGGCTTGTCACCAGTGCGTCACTGAGCAGCGTCTCTCTGATTGGTTGATGCGACAGGTCGAGCATCAAAAGTTCAGATTTTCCAACTCGTGCGTCGGACGCTTTGTATGTGCCGCACCCACGGAAAACGCTCAAAATGTGCGAAACGCGCTACTCGGCTTCTAGGCGCCCCTAGATGCGCGTCCACCATTGACTTTGCATGTAAACCTGATGCTCAGAATGCATTTGGTGTAAATCTACCATTAGTGGAAAATATATTTTAACAAGAATCCCACAAGATGACTCGAAATAAAAAATAAGTTTGTTGCCCGTGATTCAGGTAAACAGAACTCAAATGATTCTCTGATGTAAGCTGAATGGCCTTATTAAGATAGAAATGCTGACATTAATGCTAAACTACTTTATCCCATTATCGTACTAAAAACAGTATCTAAACTGTAGGGAGATAAACAACCAGCACCCACTGTAAAGAAAGAGTAAAATTGCTCCCAGTAGGCCATCTGTCAACAGATAAAAACATGCATCTGTAAAGAAACCGACAACATTTACTAATTTAACACAATTTGTTGTAAACTTTAAACAAWGACATTTAAAACACGTTAACGTTTCGCTCACCTGGTTCAAAAGAATGTGAGGAAGTGGGCAGAGACTGGAGAGACCTGCTGACTGTGGACTTCATGTTGTGGTTCAGGACTCGTGGCGACGACCCCATCCAGGCGGGCTCCTCCCAGCTCCTCTTTCCTGTCTTCTCCATCTTGGTGGGGCTGGTGGGGGCGCTCATGGCACGGTCYTACATCTGCACAAACAACACGGGTCATTCCACATCATGATGCAAGAAGGGGATTGTTTTCTATGAAAACCGCGTACAAACACTTACTCTTTTGACAGCTAGCGTTGCGATGCCGAGCATGGCCGCCCCGCCCACCCCCAGCACCAGCTTGGCGTTTGACAGCATGAAGTCGATCGCTGTTCCAATGCCGTTGTCATCTTTTTTTCCTTTACGGTCTCCATTCACWCCTGCCATCCTGCCACTGAAAGACACGATGACACGGAGATCAAAAACAGATGTCCTGTGTTTTGTTGGTTCCGTGTTAGAGGATCAGTTTTTTGTTTGTAGACCCACCTGAGAGACACACCTCCAGATGGCCCCTGGTGCCTGCCTCCCCGCTACATAAGCCCACCCAGTCCACTGCTGAGGAAAAACTGGCCCCTCTTCAGCGCCGCCTCCTTCTCCTCAGCGGTCAGGGCCTTACAGCGGCGAAACTCTCGGGCCACGACCGAGCGGTAGTAGTTCTTGTCGGTGTATTGAAGGTGGCGCCCTGCGCGGAGCAGCGCCTTGTACAGCTCCAGCACAGCACAGCGAGACCAGTTGCCCATCAGGGATCACACATGGAGGGGGGGTTGCCCTGGCTGTTTGATGGAAGAGATCGACACGGGGAATGTTTAACAAAATTAAAAAGAAATGTGGTCTTCATGTCAGCTCGATGGTGATGAAACGGTTAAACAAACAAGAGTGTGGAGTCATACAGAGACTAAAGAACATACTCAACAAGAAGTGGGTTTTTATAGTAAAAAAAAGAAGGGTTTAAAAAGTGATCAATTTAGTTTTACTTTTACTTTTTGACACATAATGTTCAACTGTGGTTGTGGAAAAAAACTACCCTTAAAATGGGGGTGATATGCACTCTTTAAAGCACGTGTCAAACACAAGGCCCGCGGGTGACCCCCGTGTGACCCGGATGTTAAAGTAAGTAGTAATTGTTGCTGTTTAGTTGCAAAAATTAGTTTGATGTGCCTTAGTTTTTGAAACTGGACTACAGAACTTGATCGACTAAATAATGGTTAATCTTAATTTCATTTTACAACCATGCATTTGACTGTAACTTAGGTGGACCCCACAAAAAATTGCTCCCAGAAATTTCCTCGTTTGACCCCCCACCAATAATGAGATGGGATTTTCGCCCTTGCTCAAATCTGTAGAAAATGGCTGTCCCAACAGAAAGTCACACGTTCCTCACTAGCTTGTTAGCTTCCTCAGGCAGGTAGCCGCCTGAGCTCGCGCTGACCTTAACTTTAAACAGCCTCGAGGACAAAAACACTTCAAACAACACGAGCCGGCTTACCTGTCAGAAATGATACCAAAGGCGGCTTCAGAAGACAACAGACACTGTTTTCTGTGCCGGGGGTCAGATGCGACGGACGGTGACAACCGGAAACAGTCTTCTTCTTCTTCTTCTTTTGTGTAATGGCGGTTGGCAAACAACTTTTAGGCGCATTACCGCCACCTTCCAGATGGGAGTATGGATCAGGTAACTATAACCTCTCCATAACACCGGTTCTTCCTAGAAATTTAAAAATACTACAAAAAACTACATCTCCTGATGACCTTTGAAACAAATCTCTAATATCTAATTTGTTCTTATTTCTACCTAACTCTCTATGTAAGACCTCTCTTTCTCGTTTATATTTGTTACATTCTAAGAAAATATGTTGCACTGTTTCTAATTTTCCACAATAATTTCAACACCCTGTATTA